TTCACATTTTACCCATGGCTGGCTTTTATGACCATCTTCTAAAGATTCGACTTAAAAGATTAGCATAAAAGATTATACTTTATTTTTTATATAACATAATGCCTCATTATTTTCACTAATGAATGAAAAACAGAAGAAAATGTCTTCAGTGACCTCTAGTAGGAAGAATTTGTAGGTGTTTACATTTACCCACATTTCTTCTTGGCACGCATTTGTTTTAGTATGTTAGCACTTACACACAAAGATGAAGAACCTACATATATATGTTGAACCCCACAAGAAAATATGACCATTTGTTTTTATGTAACACTAATTTATGATTTAATTTTTAGTGGTACTTATTAAATCTCTAGATACAAAAATTGCATAGTAAGAAAAGTGCACATTGAGTTCTGCACAGCAGGGGGAGATACAATCCATAGAAAAGAAAGGTTTTCAAGTGAAAAAAAAATTTACAAGTTACCAGACAGATACTTTTTTAAGGAATCTAAATATTTAACCTTTTACTGTTAACTGTTAAATCCTAACTGCTGCTTAGGCACTACTGCTTTGAAATTTATGTAGGTACCAACAGTTTTAAAACATGCAATCACACCTTGAAGATTGAACGGGCTGATCTGTAAGTACTTGTTTAAGAATAATCAAACAAAAAAATAGGGAAGCTACTTTTTATGATATGTGAAGAAGAAAGACGACTTACATGAATTGCATTGTAAAGCCTGTAAGCAAAGTAGGAAGGCTTGTCACGAACACAGAGAACTAGGAAAGAAAAGTTGCAACAGGTAAACATAAGATTATTATAAAATCAATTCTATTGGCTTTGAGCTCCTTGAAATATAAAGCTGAGTAGTGCTGTCCATGACTCAGCTTAAAATTGAGCTACCAGTTTTCACAACCATGACTATATTATAATTTAAAAAGTCTGGTACTTATTTTGGGTGGGTGCTCATTACGGTTGCATTGAAGGGCTTATTAAATATCAGTGAATACGCTCACATGACATCTTTGTAGAAATATTATTATCCTTATTCTATAAATGAAAAACAAAGGCACATAAAGCTTGGAACTTGTTTATATACCACTCAAGTCCTGAAAACTTTGCCAGTTATTTAATATGTGTAGAATCAGTTGGTAATGCAGTTATCATTGATCACACAAAATTTGTTACCAAATAAAGAACAGATACTAGTTCTGCTCAGTCAGAATCTAAGGCTGCATATATACATTTTTAGATTTACACAAACATGGAAAAGTAGTTCAAATATTCTTTTCTCATTATCTCTGAAAATTTAATTGCACAATATAGGAGAGTAAAATGGATAAAAATATCAGAAAAATAAGTCTTGATGCATCAGAGTTACCATACTAGATATTGAGATTACTGCTAGTATAAAATAATATTTTTACGTTACCTATTGCAACCAGTAATTCTTGAAAGTATCCATCATAACATTCGTTAATGGCATCTACTATGTCCTGCCCAGAGATATTTTGGAACTCCTGGAAAACTTGGGGAAGAAAGAAATCTTGCTTTATCCTAGTTCATTGATAATGATCAACTTGCCTTTTTTTTCCTGCTTTCCCCCAGTGCTATAACCATTGAGTTTATTTTTTTCCCTATTTATTCTCAGTGTTTCATTATGTCTATATCCCCCAGGTAAGGCAATCTAAATGAGTAGCCTGAAACCTGGCTTCCAGGACATTCTCTCTCTGGGTTCTCCAGTATAAAATGAATGCACTCCAAAGCCTCTGTTTCACTGGAAGCTTTAATAAATTACCTATCTAGCAACCTCTGTTTATGAAACTTGTAAGAATGTCATGTTATTAAGACAACTTCCTTGCTCAGCTTGGCTAAAACTGGCCAGAGATTCATAGGTTTTGACAAGAAGCCATGGCATGACATGCATGCTATGTCAGTATCCAGACATGGACGCTCTGGATAATGCAGGTATCCAGACTTACACACATAAATATACAGAGCGTGCTTACTCCTTTAGGGAAGGGGGAAAATTTTCAACTCACTGCCTGCTACAAACCTTACGGAGGGCTATATTATAGGCAGAGCCCTCAGATCTCTGTTACAGAAGAGCATAAGCAGGTGTGTTACATTATGTTAATCCTATCATCACCGGCCTTACAGAAGTCATGATAGAAGAAGTAATTTGTTGATCCGTGACAGCAAAGTAGTTCTAAGCTTCTGATAGAAGTTGGCATAAGAAATACAGCTGGCTGCACAGTGATAAACTTGTCACCAAACAGACTGTTTTTCCACTGCAGAGCAAAAGACATCTCAAACTTGTCACCAAACAGATACAACAGGTTTCTTTTCTGCAGTGGAAGATCTGGAAGATCTCATATAATTTTCTTGCAATCAGTAATTATGTCTGATTATCTATTTTAAATAAAAACGTCCCATTATGTTTCTGTGTGTATGTTCATTACAAGAGAGTGGATGTGGACCCTGAAGTGCTCCCATCAAAAACTTGAAACTTCCGTGGAAAAGCTTCAACACAACGATGTGTTTTCACATACAAACATTTGTTGAAAATACTCCAACTGCCTCTCCCAAGGTGTTTCCCCTCATAGCAAAGAGTTACTTAGGAAAAATGAAGAAAATAGTTAAGAAAAATCTGCCTCATCCTGATGTGTTGTGTGTAAACGCAGTGCAGCCGTAGCCTATGTCTTTCTTTGGTCATGCATTCTTCTCTCTGTTTTTAGGCATCCTGATGTCTGTCTGTTCTATCTACAGCTGTCTGTAGTCACCAGGCAAAGTTCAGTTTTGCATTACTTCCAAAATCCTATTAATGTCAGTGGGAATCTGAAGGCTCCAACAGTTCGCACTTAGGTTTCAGGCTAATACCCTACTGCACACTGAGCTTCTTGGTATGTAAACCATGGTTTTATTAGCAAGTCAGATTTTTCCTTTCCACTCTTTTTT